AAATAAAGAGAAGCAATTTTGTATACCCTATTATGCTATAAGAAATGCAACTGTGAAGTGTATTATAGCTTCGGTGCAATCGAAGTTAACGTTTTTTTTTTTTGCACAGTTTTGTAGATTGTATTTCTCATAATTTCATTAATATGCATAATTATATAAGCTTTTCACAAATTTATTAATCCAACCTAAGAATAAATTTTTATATAACGCTTAGTAAATGGCTGATTTTCAACAAGCATTGCTTTTTGCCTAAGTACTAAAAGTTTTTCAATGATCCGCATTATCAGAAGACTCCGATCTCAAGTTTTACATACTTTTAGCTCTAACTAGTAGTTGTTTTTGTTTTTTTTTGACTTTACATATGCCATTTATTGTGTTCTACAATGCGCTTGTAAATATGCATGTATTTTTGTATTCTCAAAGCCTTACATGCATATGTAAGCATGTATATAAGTATATATGTATATACATTATATTTTTTGTTGCCACGAAATCGCATTTATTTGCTCAGAACAATTTTAATTAAGGTTAAAATAGCAAAAGAGACGCAATCATGTGCGTCTTGAAATAGATCGTTGTATATATGTATGCGTATACATACACTCGTACACTTACGGTATGCATGTAGCTAAATCATATAGACGCTAAAATACATCTGTATGTTTGTTTGTATGTATATGCGTAGCTAACTAAAGAATAAATAAATATTTGCAGACTTTTGTGCGCACCGAAAATTTACGCGAATTTGTCTAAAAGCATATTTTGAAATAATTTTAATTACACAATAGAGAAAATGTACGCTGAAATGTAAGACTAAAAGCAACAATCAGTTAAACATATGCACATATTATATAAAAAACTAAAGTATAATTTGCTTAATTAAATCTTTGCTTATTGTATAACAAGTTGTTAGAATTTTTTGCAAAAAAAAATTATTTTCGTGAAATATTTAACTAGAAATATGTTTTTAATTAACGAAAATAATAAAAAAAAAAATATTATACAAATTTTTAATTGCTAAAAATGTAAACAAACAAGTGTGACAACTAAAAACTGAAAAAAACAAAATATTTACAAGCATACATTATATATACTATACATATACATAAATATATATATATATATATATATCTGTATATAAGTATTAATATAAGTCTGATATCTACCGTTATGCGCCACAAGCCAATTGAAAGCCAAAAATAAAAAATAAACAACAAATATTGCACACTTTGTCGCGCCAAATGAGTTGTGAACTCAATTAACTAGCAACAACTTATTAAATAATCACCTATTAATATGCCACTAATTAATCGTGAATTGTTGCCACGCTTAGTTTATGTCAAAAACCCCACGACAAGCTATAAAATGTATGATTTTATTCCTCCGCAAATTGCATAAGTGTTCTTGCACGCTATTAGCAACCCCTATATGACGATCAGTACCGTACCGCCGCGCACCGCACCGCTCCCACCCGTCAACAACGGCGGTGATGCGTCTGCATCATAAATTAAAAGCCATGGAGTTTTGCCAATAAGTTTTCTGGACATCTTCCCATTCAGGCACACGCCTCGGCGTCTGCCAGTGGTTGCCACTAGCGCCAGCTTCGTTGCCGCTTGCCAAGAAATCAGCCGATTTTGGCTTGACGCCGAATCACCACTGGCCCGCCCCCCTGCATGTTGCGCCCGCCACAACAATTCTTTTGCATTTATTACGTATTTTACGCATACGCAACAGTTTCGTTTTTATTTCGAACTGACTGACGGACAAAAGCCGCGGTAAAACTTTTAGAAGCTGGATTTCTGTATTTAAATGTTTTTTTTTTTTAGGTTATGTTTGCTTTAGTTAGCAAGTGGTGTAGACGGGAAATACTTTCGCATTGCCTTAGGTCAGGGTCTGTTGTGCTTATGAGCTCATCAGTAAGTAAGTAGACGTTGTTGTTGCTGTAGAAACTCATAACTCATGTGTTAACTGCTTGTAAATTTAACGAAAATTTGTTGAAGGTTAGAGAGAGAGAGAGAGAGAGAGAGAGTGAGAGGGGAAGCAGAAATGCGAAGAAATCGAATGTGTTCATGTTGCGGTGGAATTTATTGCGCACGGATGTGAATAATTGTTCATTTTCATGAGGACACACATTGTCCGCTGGTATGACTTAATGGTTTTGAAGTGCGTTTGTTAGTTAATGGTTCGATTATAGACTGCCGGTACTTAAATACCGCACTAACAGCAAAGATGGAGTGTAAGTAAATGAGAATGACTGGTGCAAGGACTTCAAGAATGAAGGCTCGCTTAAACTGTAAAAAATTTTAAGGTTATGATGCTGCAAGACTGCATGAAAAGTTAAAAATTTCCAAAAGTTATCAGTTATCGATACCAGCAGCCAAGCATTGTCATCCGAAAATTTGAGGTGGGAATTAATATTGAAAGATTTTACTAAATTTTAGTGAAACTAAGCAATTTTATTGTAGTTGGAAATAATCTAAGTCAAAACTGTGAGCTTTTTTAGGTATATAAAGCTTCTATGGAAACTACAAACTATTTATATATAACAAAATAATCAAGCTGCTTATATATTATATTTTAGTGATATAGACACAAATAACTTGAATAAAAACCTTCAAGCAGTCAACCAGTCAGTTAAAAAATAAGTGAAGTGAATAATAGCTTTCTCTCTCAGCATGCTCGCTCTTTCATAGTAAGATTTCGAGCGCATATATATGTAGTATATTTAATAATGTATGTTAGACACTTTGAAGGTCATGAGGAGGCAGTCTGTACTCAACTATCATTGCACTACTACTTATTCTTATGTGCTACAGTAACGACCTATGCTAATCTTTTGCACGCATCACTCTTTGGCGCCAATTAAGATATACCAAATCACTGGCTGATATTTTTAAAAATAAGGAAACATTAATATAAAAACTACGGTAATTTGAGTCACGTTTTTGAATTACAAAAAAAAAAACAAAACACGCACACGTAATAAGGTACACATGTGTGTGTAAGTGCTTTCATTCACACATTTCTTCCTGCACTTATTATTTATATTTCACTTGCCAATTTCCAATTGTTTACGCACAACACAAATTTCATTGCCAAAATTAATTCGATTCGAGTGATGGTCAACTACCGAACTACCGCGCCCGCACCACACACCAACAACAGCGAAAAATTGGCAAGCAACAACTTGGAGCAGTGAGACTCGGGGGAAACCTTTGCCAAGGATTGTTCCCACAAACGCATATATGAGCAGAAAAAGAATATTGTGCTACTTTCTGCTCCCCTTTCTGGCAACCTGTTTCAGGCAATGAACCCGTTAGCGTCTTATATAATCTTTTAATGTGCACTTTGTTGGCAAACGCTTGATGTGTGCCAACGGCTAAGTTTTTATGTTCTGTCCATCTGTGTACAAGTATTTATCGGTTCCTATGCGTGAACAGTCTAAATACGCTTTGTGAGGTTGCCAGATAGTTTGTGTTTTCCTTGTTTTGTAACAAATGGCACATGCATGCAAGTACATATAAATAGTTACAACTCCCATACGCAATCGTCAATAGTTTTACAGTAATCGGTATAGTAATCTGTGCCAAGAAAATCGCAAAGAAAAATATTTGAAATAGTGTGTAAACAAGCGTAGATTTTTGTTTTTCTTAAATAAAAATAAACTTAATAAAAAAATGTATAAAGTATCATTAGGGTGGTTTGAAATGGTTGACATGGCTAAAATTCTTTTTTGGAGAAAATGCGAGTTTTGGATGTTAACGATATATGGCAACTATATTGCACAAAAAAATTTGTCTAAAAATGTGCTTTTCTCTTAAATTTTTCAGTGGAAGAAAAAATTATTTCCTTAATAATACATTTTTTCAGAAAAATTAAAAAAAAATTTAAAGTTTCCAGTATATTTTTTTTTTAGAAAAATTATTTAATATTATAAAAAAAATGTCATTACACGACAAAAAATATTTTTCTTTTTAAATAATACTATTTCAAAATATTAAATTGTTTCATTACAGGAAACATTTTTTTTTTCTTTTTAAATAATATTTTTTTTAGAAAAATTTTTCCAATGTAAAAAAAATTTATTATCTTAAAAAAGTTAAAAGTTTCTAATACAAGTTTTATTAATTAAAAAATTTTTTTTTAAATAATAAATTTTTATTTACACATTAATTCTGTTGATAAAGCTTTTTGTTTTACATTAATAATAATAATTTTTTATAAACTTTTTTTATTTTAATAATAAAATTTTTTCTATAAATTTTTTATATAAAAGTGACAATCGAGATTATAAAATACATTTACAAAACAAACAAAAAAAGATCAAAAAAACGCATTTTTTTTTCTTAATAAATAATTTTTTTTTTGTAAGTCTTTCCAATGCAAGAAAAATTTATTTTCTTAAAAAAGTTAAAAGTTTCTAATACATGTAAAACAAATTTTTTTTTAAATAATTTTTTTTTACAATTTAATTCTGTTGATAAAGCTTTTTTTATTATTAATAGTAATAATTTTTGTATAAACTTTATTTTATTTTATTAATAAAATTTGTTTCTATAACTAAAAAGTGACAATCGAGATTATAAAATACATTTACAAAACAAAACAAAAAAAAAAGAACGAAAAAATATTATGATGCTACTATTTCATTAAAACAAATTTATTTTACCCAAATCAGTTGCGATCGAATGGTGTGCAGTACAGATGTACAAGAAATGGAAATAATGCAAATTTTTATTTTCCACCAAATATTTGCACACACAAAACTTTGCAGAATATTAACAAATTTTTCCCAACATATACCCATATAAAATACACTTTAATCCGAAACATGTACATATCTATATATTGTATGAAAAAATTCAATATAGCATATAAAAATAGATTATTTTTAATTTTTTGTACAAAAAAATAACTAACCTCAAACACACAATTTTTTAAATTTAAAGATCTTTCATAACTATGTAACTAATTATGCTACTTTTTCTCTCTCATTACAGGCGTGTAACTCCACTCTATTGTAACAGCAATAAAATCAGCAGTTAGCAACACTTAACAATCCAATTCATTCTTTCAAACGACACACATAAATCTCACCGATTGGCAATTACCACGTTGCAGTCAAGCGCAAACATACAAACGTCAACGTCACTGGCTAGTGACCAACCAATGGCGTGCGGCGGTTTCGCCGGCTGACGCACCAACACACACACCAACGCGCGTCAAAAAAACAATTCACCACCGGAAATGCATTTCACTCGGCAAAAGCAACGAAAAACGAATTTCCTCAGCTATGCCTTGCAATCATGCGATTTGTGCTGATGCGCCATGTCGCAGAGAGAGAGAGAGTAGTATTGTAAGTAATATTTAGTGTGTAAGGCGTCACTCATACGCCTGGTTGCAGGACATAGCTCGCGCTTTTTTGCCTCTTGAGTCATGTATATATCCAGCACGTGAAATTTGAAGCGTTTGTGGTTAGTGGTGGTTGAGTGGTAGCCACACGCTGAGATTAGTGTGCAAGTGTGAGTAAGCGCGAGAGCGCCAAGTAGTATGAGAGCGCCGAACAACAACAACGCAAATTGGCATTTTGCTCATTGGCTGCAAGCACCATAAAGGATGCGGAAGTAACGGTTGGTGGCATCGGCAACCGAGCTGGCCAATCAGAAAGGTGCCGAGCGCATGTAAGCGGTTACTTGCACGCTATCCTTAGCTGCTTGTGGCGAAGTAAAATTCATGCTATATATATGCAAGTTGGAAGGTGTGTTTGCGAAGATGGAGTTGCATTTATTTTAATGGCTTGGAAGACAAAGTACACTTGCCAAAGGTAGCAACAATAACTTTTGGCACTGACTCTGTTTTCTGTAAATATTTGGAAGCAAATATTATGCTTACTAAGATTCTGCAGAATGATATTATTGTAAAACAAAATGTGTTATGTTTGTTGCGATTTATAACAAATTAATTGGACAAATATGAACGTATATATGATCGTAAGTCAGGCTTGTATATAGTGCGAAGTATATATAATAATATAATTATAAAATATAAAATATACATATAAACCTTTGTAATTAGCGTAACATCAAACTCTAACTTTAGTTATTAACAGTTCTAGCCCGTTAAGAAGCTTGTACGTCTTATTGATAGTCATCTGGCGGTAACGGTGTTGCTTGGAAAATAACAACTGGTCCAGCTCATTGTCCGCATTTTTATTTTAGATTTATTTTTAATTTAATAACCATCTAATAATCACTTAAACATATGTACGTATGAAAAAATTATGATAATTAATGACAAGAACAAAATCAAATAATATTCACATGCCCAAGTAAATTATTACTGTCATACAATTACTTAATTACACATATAATGTAATTTGTAGAAAATAGTTTTACGTAACAAACGTAATGTTCAGAAGAAGGTGGAGAATATTGAAAATGAATAAAGATTGAAAAAACTGTAAAGCTCTCGACAGCGGAACAGAAAGTATGTGATTTTTAATTTCAACTAAATTTAGTGGTGAGTACATATTTATAACAGCTAGCTAACGGTTTTGCTAAGATCGTGTATTGTGTATTAAATTTCTAAAGCTACCGACTTTCTGATGCTTGAGTATAAAGTTCATGCCTTAGTATGCTAGAATCCAGCGTTACAACATAACCTCACTATTTTCAGAAGACGCCCCGAAACTAGTTAATATTTGCACAATATAGCTTGTTTCGCTTCAAATATCAGTATTTTCAGTAATATCTACATACTTGTACATACAAGTATATTGAATACTATTTCTTACCTAAATTCAAACATTTCCGCTCAACAACATGCACTCCGCAAGAGAGGTACTCAACGTTGCTTGCAGCAATTGGGGCTTCGCCGTACTTAAGTCTGTTTAACTTGCGCTGATGTAATTCGTATTTGATTACAATACAATTACACTACGTGCACTAGATTTGAAACTTTAGAGCAGAATATAGTAAAATATTACACTCACTTTTTTATAAATTAATATTTTTTAAAGCACTGCAAATCAGAAAAACTCACAATTAGCAACTTGTTTTTTACTGTCATCATAAATACATATGTTCTTGACAGGAAGTTCAATTTTTACCGCTAAAAATATTATTAGCCAAGCCACGAACCTTCTTAGCCAGCCTATTTCCTATCCTTTCAGCAATTTATACTATTTCCAACAGCTGTCGCCGTCCATAAATCTAGATTATCAGTCTTGTCCGCTAGGTGAGCTATACAATAAAAATTATTCACTAAATTTTATTTTTACAGAGAAAACAATAAAATATTATATATTTTAATTAATTACGATTTACCACAATTATGGTAGATTAGCATTTACAGTTTCAATCCTTCAATGTACTTGCAAAAAATTATACTTATTAAAACCCTCCACTAGTCGATAACTGACTATTAAACAGCAATCAGTTTTACTCGATGCATTGCTGTTGTCATCACCATATAACACGTATTGTGCGGTTTGCAACTTATGCGAGAAATTACTGTTTTCATTAAAGAATAATCATTATACTTTGCATTCCGTGGAAAAAATTATTTGGGAAAAGTGGCGGCTTTGTAAGCCCATATTTAAACAATTAAAGTGAAAGATAAAAATTGTTAAGGTGAATGTGCAATTTGTCTTTTCGTGCACCTAATTAAGTAAAAACCCGATTATTATTGGAAAGGCGATGAAATTTTGGATTTTTCTATACAAAATTGTTAACGATGAACGAGTCATCGCAATGATGGAGGTGTTTGTGGATGCTAGAGTAGTTAAAAGCAACAGGGGAATTGAGATGGACTATTGGTGCAGCGCCATGAAAATTTTTTTTGTAATGACAGTTTACAAGCATACAACCAGTTGTAAGAAAGGGACGAATAATGCGCCACAAACGATAAAAACAATGTGGGTGCTAAAGGTTGCAGTGTATGTTAGAGAAAGATGGCATGTTGTGTTGGGTGGGTGACATTTGCTTAGCTGGGTATTTCAGTGCTGCCAAATCTGAGTGTTCGAAAGAAAGTGCATTTTTCAATTTGCTGTTCGCGAAATCTGTAAAAACGTAAAATCGCTGCAAAGGCAAAGTCAAAGTAATAATTTGTGTTAAATTATGAAGAAAAACTAAGTACGGGTTATGATGAATATTTGTGTGACTTGTTAATATTGAATTTGTGCTTATATTGTTATTTTTTTTGTGTATGGTGCCGTGTTTGACGAGTTCCTCTTCCAGAAAACCAAGTCAGTAGGGCTGCTGTGTTTGTCTGCTTTTGTTTAATTTAATTTACGACTTCTTTGTATTGCTGGAACTTATGCTTACGTCGCAATTCGCTGTGAATTATATTTTATGCTATAGCCTGAATATTACTCATTATTATTAATCTTCTGTATGCACTCCAAAGGAATTATGGACTTTTGTTACATGTTTTTCTCTTACATTGTCCTTTTCTCAAATGTGTTTTGCATGTTTTTCCATTTATAATCAAGCAACTTTACATATACATAAGTATATTTGGAATATTATCGGTGTACTGTAAATCCGCCCCATAGATATATGGCGGGGAGTGTTCGGTGATAACAGTGCGGATAATAAGCTCATTTCACTTTTTAGAGTGTTCTAGTAAAACGTGTATGTTGCAAGCGTGTATTTTAAGTATAGAAAATTATGACTGTGACGCGCTGATAGCTTGCACAAAGCATTCATAATAATAGTTGGAATTGTAAGATGTGATCTCCATTTCCCACTATTATTTCAATAATTGTTGAGGGGATTTAAATGATTATAAATGGTACCCGTTTATTGGAAACGCCCACTAATTATCTGAAAGTTACTAAATCAGTTCCTATATGTTGTATTTATTCAAACAATGAGTGACGGCTGCCTGGCTAACATACATATATCAAAACAATACATTTTTATTAATTTTATCGTCAAGCAAAATACATGCTCCTATGTGTGGATATGTAGGGAAACATAAAAATATGTCAAATAATCCTGCACTTGTTGACGTTTCTCATTCGTCGCCACCGTTTTGCTTTTCTCTCATGTTTCTCTATATCAGTTCTACGATATACGATGACGCATCGTACGTCGTTTTGTATCGGCGTCAGCTGTTTTCCTTTATTAAATTTTACTGTGCTAAGTGCAATTCGTTTGTAATTATGTGGTATATTTTATTGAATTTATCAGTTTGTTTAATTGATGAAATTTATTCCGTGAGTTGAATAAAAAAAAAAAAGAATTCCAAGGTTGCTCTACAATAGTGGTGGTCAAGTATCCAATATTGCGTGGAGTAGCAGTCGTTGTTCGTGTGTGTTGGTATGAGTTCCAGGAATATTATTGCATTTCAATATACTTTTCCTCATAACGTTACTCTTAACTATCGCACTTAAATGTTTAATATGCACGTAACGAATACGTTTATGTGGGTAACTTGTTTACTTAGTTTTTTCAGATATCCAGCTGTCCAATGTATACTTTGTCCTTGGAAGTGAATGCAACTACATATTCATTCATATAAATCTCTACACAAATGCGTGCAAGCAAATAATTGCGCCGATTCATTCAATTTGGTGGAGTTGCAATGACGCGTTAGGTTTCGTTTCTTCTTTTTTTCTCATTTAATTTTGCGCATTTATACTTACAGATTATTTGTTTATACTTAAAGGTGCTTGGCACGATATTATCGCTATCTCAGTTATTCAGTTCTCACAACGCGCATCACATGATACTTTAAACACAGCTAATGTTGTTTGGTAGCGCCTATTTGTGTTGTTAGCTGTTAAGTAAGGGAAAATATTTTTGCCTTTGGTTATGTTACGGTTAAGTGGCTTTGGTTAATGAAAAATATATTAGTTAGAAACACTATCAATAATGTTGCTTTAAAATAAATAACTTTGTTCTAAATGTGCATGAGCGTATTAATAAAAATTCCTATAATTTCGTTATACTAAAAATTTCAGCACTAAAAAGTTCTACTCTGGTGCAAAAATTTTTGTTTTACAACTAAGATACTGTATTTGAGTATATTTTTCAAACACAATTCTGCCTTTGTTTCACCTCAGTGCTAAGGCGTTTGTTTACTTTTATTTAGAAAAAAAAATATGTGGAATTTGTATATAAGATTTGTACTATACGTCTCGATGAATGTTATTCCATACATTTAATGCTTATTAGCGGTTGTGAGTGTTTTTTTTTTGTTTTTATAATCGTTTGTTGACTGACAGCTAATTTCTTTTCTTTTACTGCTTAATTAGTACCCACACATTAGATTTATTTATTCTATGTATTTTTGTACTTCGCAAGTTTTCTTTATTTTCTGCTTTTCTTAACATTCTCTCTTTGCATTCTTTCACATTGTTATTGAGTTATTGTTTAATTAAGTTTGCGCTTAATGCAATAGTTTTAAGTGGCCGAGACGAACTGCTGGGCAAAGCAGAGCCCAATGAACATGTGCTTTGGCAGCAATTGGAAAAACCTGCAATTGAAATCTTATAGTACTATGCGTTGTATAGAGCAAAATAGTGCAGATTTTACATTCTTATTTTTACAATTTTACGCTTTTTAATGCGTTTCAAACTATGTAAGTCTGTGTGATTTCTCAAAATTATTTGTAAAATATTTTCTGTCGTTTCAACAACAACAAAGAAAAAACGTTAACTTCTTAATATACACTTGTTCAGAGTATAAAAAGTGTATAAATGTTGACACCAAATAGGCTTGTCATTAAAACAGTTACGAGTAACTGAACTGTGTGATTTAAAATAAATTGATATTATTCCCGCTTGTCAGTATGAATTATGCGGAATATAAATCACGGACGAGCTGCAAACATATATATATTATAGTCTTCAGCTTATTATAGACCATTCACCCAATATGTGCGTTTCACTAAACTCTATACCTCCTCCTCGCATTTTGTGGAACTCAACTCACAATTGCAGTTATCGCTTACAAATGTCAATGTCAGACGGTTTATAAATATTGTCGCTATCGCAATCGTTGAGCGTAAAACTGGCAAATCAGTTTGGTACAGCCAAGCCAAGCAATGCAGTAACTGTGCAAGTAGCGAACGACAAGTTACAATCATAAGATCATAGCACAGATTTCCTTACTTGTATATATGTATTAACTTCTGTAAATGCACATTACATGTTCATATTGTATGTATTTATGTATATATCATATGTCTGTATGCATATATTGTTAATTGAATATTTCTTGCAGCCGCATTGCGCATAATTGTGCGACTGTCAGCGGAAGTGTCGTTAAATTTACTATCATTTAGTAAGAAAAACAATTGCGTTGCGAGTTTTTAATTATAATTTTACTCCTACAATGCTTACATGCATACATACATACATATGTACACATATATAGTATATGTTTGCTATCATTGTTTTAGCTACGCATACTTGTTGCTAATACTCACTTTAACTGCACAAATGACGAAATAATACGAACACGCTTGTGTGTCGCTTAACGATTTTTGCCATTGTTTTATCATCTTCATTCTTGCTTTCTTGCTTTATTTTAAGTTTAGTGTTGTTTAGTTTTACATACATATGTATGTACGTTATATACGTTATAAGTACATATGTGCAAATTCATTAACTCTATATATCTTATCGGTGGCGTAAATCGGACATATTAGTAAAACAAATTCTTTTGTTTAACAATGTATTGCTGTGTATTAAAAAAAAGTTTGAAAAAGCTAGCTTAATGGGCAGTGAAAAGTTATCAGCATTAATTTTTGATACTAAGGTACATACACTTTTGTGATTCATAGGCCGATTTTCAATATGACATTGAATATTATGCTCTATACTGCACAACAACAAATATTTGGAGTCGTAAGGCGTTGATAGCGGTGTGAGGGGGCTTATATTATTGTATATGATGTAGTTTTCTATATTTCTGAAGATAATTAAATAAACTAGTCGTTGCCATAGCGGGGATTGTGCTAAATTCAAGCGCATATAGCGGTTTTATATTGCTCAATTGTTGCTTTTCTAACGGATTCGCTCCACAAAGCTGCTCTACAAAATTTTAAAGATTAATAACAATTAAATATTAAAAATAAAAAACAATATTTGTCTATTTTTCTTTACAGTACAGGAATCGACACCCCAAAACAACACCTGACAACATCGGCCGTCCCTTTTGCGTAAAGGTTTGAACGAACTGCAGCTGCAAATCTAATTACAATCCAAACATTCGCACCGAAACGAACAAATAATTACAACAATACAAAGAAATACTATTAAAGAAAACAAAAAGAAAGAAAAACAACAATAATAATAATAATCAACTGCGACAACAACAACATACAATATTAGGCGCAAGTTATAAAGTTATAACACAAAAATTTGTGACTACAGCAACGTGGGAAGCGGCAGTAAGCTCATAGAAATCGGTTGGCAAGTGAAGCAACAACACAACCAACACCAAAAAAGCATACCAATACAAAAGCAGCAAGAACAACAGCAACAAGATGGCAACAACTGCACGTAGCGGTGGCAATGCCAGTGGCAGCACAGCTCAGCGCCCCAACGGTACACAGCAAAATAAGAATTGCCAATTTAAATTGGTGCTATTGGGCGAATCGGCGGTGGGCAAATCATCGCTGGTGCTACGTTTCGTTAAAGGGCAATTTCACGAATATCAAGAGAGTACGATAGGCGCTGCATTTCTAACACAAACCATCTGCATAGAGGATACGGTGGTAAAATTTGAAATTTGGGATACGGCCGGTCAAGAACGGTGCGTATAGTTACACACATATAAATGCGTAATATGTTTTTAAATATATATATACATATATGTATGTATTTAATTCGCTGTCCATTGCAGATATCACAGCTTAGCTCCTATGTACTATCGTGGTGCCCAAGCCGCCATTGTAGTGTACGATATACAAAATCAAGACAGTTTTCAGCGTGCAAAAACCTGGGTCAAGGAACTGCATAAACAAGTGAGTTTGCACAAAAAACAAAAAAAAAAAAACAAATATTGTATGCTGATGACACCGATTAGCTGTTGTCGCTAACGTGACATTGTCATATATTTATAAATTCAATTTTTTTTGTTTTGTTTTTGTTTTTTGTTACATGGCGGTTAATGATCGTGCGTCAAATATGTAGCTCTTGTATGTAAGCAATGCGTTATAAAATTTACATACATATTTGTATTTAATTGAGAGTGGTCATTGACCCCAAAACCAACTCAAGTTCGGTTTTTTTTGTTTCTGACTTGCTCATTGACTAAAATGAATTAAATTTGTAAAAGTATGTGTTTGTTATATATAATTATTTATGGTACACAAACAAAATGCAAAACTTTCATGGCGCCTATTTTAATTGTGGTCGTTTTGTTTTTACTATGTTGATATAAATTGCTGCAGTAGCGATCCTGTGCCACATCAAGCATGCTTTTGTTGTTGTTCTAGTATAAAATTTTCCCCAAATAGTTTTTTTTTGCACACCTTTTCAGGTTTTTAGCCGCTTTTGGTTTGAAAGGCGCTCGTATAAGTGAACAAATAATATTATTTTTTATTTACTTCTTTTAGTGAAAATCTGTAAATTTAAGTTTTTTGTATAAAGTGCAGACTAAATTTGTCTTGTTTTTATTTTTCAGGCATCGCCGAACATTGTTATTGCCCTGGCTGGCAATAAAGCGGATTTATCAAATATACGTGTTGTAGAATACGAAGAAGCAAAGCAATATGCCGAAGAGAACGGTCTACTCTTTATGGAAACCTCGGCAAAAACGGGAATGAATGTGAATGATATATTCTTAGCAATTGGTAGGTTATATCTTTTTAACTACTCATTACTTTAAAATAATTTTAGAAAATTTTTAGATCATTAAATAATGCATTTTTTTGTTTTAAATTTTTTTTAATATAATATGAAATTTTTTTTTTTAAATATACTTTTTATATTGTATTTTCTTACATTTAATTATACCATGAGCTGTGTGTATTAAGTTTACCATGAAGTTGGTAGCACCTAGAAGAAAACATCGAGGACCCTATAAAATATACATATGAATGATTAGGAAGACGAGCTGAGTCCATTTAGCCATGTCTGACCACCTGTCCGACGTAGTTGTTGTTGTTGTAGCGGCAGAATTCTGTTTTCACAACAGTCGGATCGAGGTAACCGGAAAGGACCCGGATTTTTATGCGGCCAAGGACTATCAACTCGACAGACTTCTGCCTGTTTGACCGTTTGTGCGTCTGCCTGTCTGTGCATACGCTAATTAGTCCCTTAGTTTTTGAGTTATCGATTTGAAATTTTACGCACTTCCTTTTTTCTCCACAAGAAGCTGCTCATTTGTCTGTATCGCCAATATCGGACCACTAAAGCATACAGCTGCCATACAAACTGAACGCTCGAATTCTAGTATTTATATGGAAAACTTCTTCATTTGACGAGATATCTTCACGAAATTTAGCATAGCTTATTTTCCAAAAAAACGATAAAAATTTCGAACAAATTGTGCAGATCGGACCACAGTAGCATATAGCTGCCAGACTAACTGACCGTTCAAAATCAAGTTCTTGTATATAATTTTGTACTTTTGAAGGGTATTATAGCTTCGGTGCAACCGAAGTTAACGTTTATGTTTTCTTTATTGTTATTTTTATATATTTTATATTAAAACTCTGCATTAAAAAATCTTCGTTCACCAAACTCTATGCCTTAACACTACAATTTCCTTTTGGTTTGCCTTTTTTCAGCTAAGAAATTACCTAAAAACGATGGAGCACACAATCAAGGCGCTCCTGTGGGTAGAAGGCTGAATGAAAATGAAAATAACCGACAAACAAACAATTGCTGCAAGTGATGTCCTTTTGTAGGTTAGTTTATCCACTTGAAATATGCCGCAATGCCATCATTTTAACCACTAATGAAGATATTTACTATTATCTACTTGCAGAAAATGAAATTTCCAATGAGAGATTTGAAAAATTTATGCTGATAATTATAAATAAAAAAATAAATATATAAATTACATAAAAAACAAGAAACCAGAATTAGAAAGCAGAAACAAAAGTAAGGATGATGATGTTGAGTGGGAAAGCAACCAATAATAATATTAATATATAAAATTTAAATTATGAAAAATTATGATAATGATGGTAATGCTATGAAAATAGATTAAAATAAAGTCACATTAAAAATCGAAAATAGAAAACCAGTAAATAAAAAAAAATATATATATATTAACGAAAAACCTTACCAAACAGAAAGAAAGAACGCTCCCCTTTTCAGCTCCCTCATCCCTGCATCAAACAGCAGCGTATTATAACTATCTATCTAACCGTCTGTGTGACAACTGTCCACAGCAGCGTACACTCCAACCCCCACTCCCGTAACCACAGCGACATTTGAATGCATACAGCGTTTCATGTATGTTTTAGTTACTCCGCAAAAACATTCAAATCACAAAATATATACAAAATCAGCAAACATATATTAAGTTTAAATACTAAATGAAAGTTAAAAGCGTAAACTTTTTCAGTAAAAAATGGTAAACCCAAAATAAATGAAAACAAAAAATTAATTAAATTAAACGTGGAACACATAAACTATACACATACATACATATGCATTGCATAGCATAGCTTAATGAGTAACGAGACGTGCGTTTGGTCGTTCGAGCGGTCGTTTGAGTTTCTGCTGAGATCACGTTTATAGCAACGTTACAAATTCCAGGCGACCAGCTGTCAACATACTGAGTAGCGCATTGTTGTTGTTAATATACACGTACATATGCATGTATGTCGCGTGTGTACGTTGTTATGACGCAGTATTGTAAGATTGCTGTGTGTACCAGCGTTGGAACAGTTGTTGGTTGTAAAGTGTTTATGCGCGGTACAAACACACACACACACACATACAGGTGCATATGCACATTTGCATGTAAATATTTGCAAGCATACATACACACTTAAATTTGCTCGTCGCCGGTCGGTATAAAGATAGCTTTTTTTTTATTCTTGTTGTTATTTGATGTTTTTTTTTTGTTTTTGCATTTTTCTTTTGGGCCAAGTCAATTTTGCGTGTGTCAAGCGGTTCGCAAATCTCTTATTAGCAATTCCAAATTGAAATTCACTTACGGTTTAGTATGTATAAGCAAGAAATTTACTGTTAGAATGCAACATTTGTAAGGTGTGATGAAGTTGAAAAGTATGCTGTTTATATATATATATATATATATATATACAAATATATATACATATTTAAAGTAATTGTGTAATACTTATTTCACACTTATTCATTAAATAAAAACTATTATAATATTAATTATTATTATTTAAAAATTTGTATATGTACATACATATGTGTATGCATATGAAAATTACAAAAAAAATTTATTTTTTAATCGAAAATAAAATTACGAATAATATTTTCCAATTATACATAAATCAATTTACTACTATGTTGTATGTATGAAAAACAATAATAAAGAAAAAAATTGCGAGAAAATGAATATCATGAATCATAAGGTGTATGTATATGCAAATTCAAAAAAAAAATTTTTTTTGAGACTAATAGTGTAACGAAAGAAAATATCATTTAAAATGAAAGTACGTCGAAAACGAAATTCGTAGTGAAGCTTTTAACACATTGACTCCCACACAGCGCATGTCGTCCTTGGAGTCAAATCACCACATTTTGCAGACGAAGAGCTCCAATTGCTTCGCGAATCTAGGGTGAGCCTTGCACAACTGCGTTTTGGCTACTGTAGCAGCTTAAACTCCTACTTATCCAGATTCGACCCATACCAAATATATGGCCTGCGTGAATCTCTTTGCATGCCTCACGAAAACCATCCAACTAATACCGCTTTCCCTATGGTTCGACCCCGTCGCAACAACCCGTTTCTTGGACCTACCATTAAGTGGCTTCGAGAACGGTGAATTTTGCGCTTGACAGGGTCTAGGTAATTGCTACGACGACAACAAAAGACAAGTTTTTTGCGCCGAAGTTGTCATGTGAGATATACTTTGTCCAACGATTTTTTTATGCGACAAAACTTCATCCAAAGGATTTTGGTTGTACTACTTTTACGGTGTCTAGGTGATTAGTTCATTGTAATTGGTCTACAAAAATAGAGTATAACCCTATTGGCCGTATTTTTGAACGTAAATGGTTCAACATTTGTATTGTCTTAAGCGATATTTTGTCGCCGTAACAGTTGAAACATCCGGTGCAAATATTTGAGTGGAAATTTTACTTTATACTGTGTTTTTCTTTACATAGTTTATTTGCTATTAACATTTAAGGATCTTTAAGTACCCCAATTTCTCTCCACAAAAATATTACTCCTCTCTGAGGTGTTTGGTTGAGTTTCTTCTTCCATTTGTGGTGCGATCTAGAAGTTTTGAACTGACTTCGAAGATATACCTACACCCGTTTTTTTTTTGTTTTATGTCGGGAATCGCCATCCGTAGAAACGTGTTGCAATCAAATAGACGAATACAAGTGCGACATGAGTGAGGGCGATGCCGTAGGAAATTGAAATCTAAGTGCTTTCGTTGCAAACGATTAGAAAAACAAGAAAAAACGATGAATTCGATTGCTCCAAATCTTTGATACCATTCACAGGTGCATTTCTTAGGGCATAAAAGAGTGTAAGGGGTTTATCTCGATTTTGTACGCCAATTATATGATTCCGATCTGAACAATATGTTCGGAGATTGATCGATGCACGATAAGATATTCTTCTCTGAAGTACTCTTCTGCACTAGGTTCGGCAGACGTTGTAGCCAAATCTTAGCTCAGTTCAGCTAGTCTCAGCGTAGCATTCGTTTGAATTAGTCGTATAGCAGCTAAAAAATATTTGAGCCCTAAAATATGGAGAAAGATCAGATCAGCTTGAGTACGGAGGAATACGATTTTGCCGCTTGGATGACGAACTTACATTGATTTCCGGCAGTAAAGATTAAAGTACCTGCAAAATGTTGAGATAATGCGGCCGAAATATTTGCAAGTTGCTGCTTCGCGCAGGTCTCGCGAAAAAGGCCTCGAGTGCAAGGGGTTAATATACATACCTTGTTTAGGGTATAATAAAGGTTATATTGGAGAATCATCTGAGAATATGCACACTTAGTTAAGCAATTCGTATATTCGTTACTAAAGCACCTATATTAGCCATAGGGTCCCCTAGAACTGCCGAAAAGCTGCGTAAAAGAATTCAGGTAAGAAAAGCAGATGGAAAGAGCAAAAGTCAAAAATATCGGGAGAGAGGGATAGCTGTACGCGAAATGTTCGGCGTTGAAAAATTAAAACTGGATAGAAAAGTATTTTTCGTAGCGGCAGGCAGCATTGTTGAAATAATTTGGAGATATACTGCTGTGTTGACGGTCCTTGGCCAGAAAGAAATCCGGGTACGTTCCGGTTACCTAAACCCGATTGTCGTGTGAAATTTTGCTTTTACTTAAACCACTTTTCAACGAAACAACTAACGTTTTAAAGTCAGGTTTTTCGGTGAGCAGTTTATTCTAGTTAAAGTCTCGCTGTGTCTGGAAGCACTTTCACGCGTTTCCGCGCGAGAAAGCAAATCTTCCAATATTACCTAAACTTTGTGCGCATACATACATACTTACCATTATTTAAAAAATTAATTAAATTAATTAATTAAACAAAATTAGTGATTTATTTTTGAAAATTTTTTATTAACCGTTTTATTTAAATAATAATTCTATGGAGTTCCTTTTCGACATAAACTCTTGTGATTACAATTTTATTTAATTCAATAGTTGTTTTTGTAGTTTTTATGTGTTTTTTTAAATATATTTTTTGTTTGTTTCTTGCTTTAATAGAAGTACTGTACTTGCTGTTTTATTATTATTTTTTATTTTTTTATTTTTATTTTTATTTTTTTATTGTTTTATTTTTATTTTTTTAATTTTAATTATTATTTTTTATTTTTATTTTTATAATTTTTTATTTTAATTTTTTTACTTTTATCATTTTTAATTTTAATTTTTTATTTATTTTTGTAATCAAATAAATGTTTTACAGTTGCCAACGCCTCGTTTTCAGTTTCCATCATTAATTTTACGAACATTAGTTTTTATTAGCATTTATTTTATATATAGTATAGTATGTATATATGTATGTATATATCATTTTAATGCCTTACTAAATTAACTTTCAATTCGAGATTCTGTTTTGTTTTTGTTTTCCTTTTTTTGGTTTTGGTTTTGTGATTTGTATAATTCTCATTTCATATGTGTGTTATTTACTGTTGTATTCACTGCCTTAGGCAATGTATAGTGTGTATGTTTACATGTATGCATTTTTGTTTGTATGTTTGTTATTGTTATTTATCAATTTTTTGCAGTACGAAAAGTCAAATTTCGCTCTTCAAAAACAAAAAAAAAAAATATTATGTAATTCAACGAACTCGCTACTTTTTCACATACATGTATGTGTGTTAGTACTGTCAAAAATTTTGTTGTATTATATTTTTCTTTTATAATTACATAATTAATTCCTTCGCTAAATACTCGCATATTGCAACAGTATTTTCTTCATATGTATGCATGTAGCTGTATGTGTGTGTGTGTCTATGTATGTTTATAAGAGTTGTTAAGTAAAGATTTTGCGAAATAGAATAGGCTAATTAATAATTGAAGTCTACAGCATTAAGACGCTTGCTTTATTCTGCTAAATATTATTAATTTAGATTTTGTTTTTGTTTTTGTATGTAGGCATGTATTGTTTAAATTTAATAAAAACTACTACAAGGCAACAAAATGGCTTCATATTAGTATATATGTAGATTTTGTGGATGTAAATACATATGTATGTATGCATATACATATGTACATATGCATGTAAGTATGTAAGTAGCGTGTAATTAACTAACTTTAGCACAAAAAGTGGGCAGCACACAAAGTAGGCGGGGCGTCTAGTTATATAAATATTCTAATAAGAAAATTCAATAAAAACAAATGCAAGTGTTGTTGCAGTATAATGGCGAATACATATAGTAAATAGTACATAATAACACTTATCAATTTAATGGCAGACCAGAGGGGGGCAGTTGTTCGGTTCACGTGTGGTGAGCGCTTCGAAAATACACTACATGTTTAATTACTAATTAATAATAACAAGTGTAATTAATGGCGACGAAATTAATTTTACATAAAACAACAACAAAAATAACAAAAACACAATATTTAAAAACATTTCGGCTATACTTTCGTTTAGGTCACCGCAGCGATTTGCTTGAAAATTTACACAGTGGTGCTGTAGGCCATTACAAGAAATACACTAAAGGCTTTTTTGGCGTTAATTAAAAAAACCAGTCGGAATATTTTTTTTTTGATTTACAAAAATAAGTTTTTTTTTCATTTAAAAAAATAATGATATATATTTTTTAGCACTAAAACAATAATAATTAAACTGATTAACTATTAAAATATTATATTATTACAATATTTTATTGCAGAAAGGATTTCTATTGATAAAAAACTTGCTTTTATGGAAAATTTTCAAGTATATAGATTTTTTTATAAATAGTTAAAATTTTTTTTAAAAAGACTGTTTTTTGAAAATTAAAAAAAATTGAAAAAAACCTTTTTTAATGCAAAATATATAGAATTTTTTATGAAAAAGATTATAAAATTTTTTTTTGGGAAAATAATATTGTTTTTTGAAAAAAATTGAAAAAGGAAACTTTTTTTAATTTAAAATATATATATTTTTTTAATTGCAAAAAAAAAAACATTTTTAAAAAATTAATTTTTTTGAAAAAACTTAATATATATAAACTTTTTAAAATAGTTTAAATTTTTTGAAAAATTTGAATAAAAAGTAAGTAAAGAAATTTTTTATTTTTACATAATATATAAAAATTACTCCATAGAGTTTGTTTTTTGTTTTAATTTAAAGAAAAAAATTGAAAAATAATTTTTTTTTGGAATAATTTGAAATATATAGAAATAATTTTTTTTATTTGAAATATTTTTTATTTTATAAACAAATAGGTCTGACCGCACCAATTCCGAATTTTGGAATAAAAATTTTCCATCAAAAAAGACGTATGAAAATTGATTTTTTTTTAATCACATTAAGAACCTCTGTATACAATACATTTGGAAGCAAATCGAAGAGATGACTTAATCGTTTGTTTTACTTTCATTCAATATACCTAACAACAACAAAAAATACATAATAAAATTATTTAAATAATTCGCTTTTAAACGAGAGAAAAATGCGCATAATTAACTGTAAATGTAACGAATTAGCAATAATGTTTATCCATATATAAATATTGAGTAGTTCGTTTTCGTAAATAGATAGTATATGCTGTTAGTGCTTAGTGTCCTCACTATTTCAACATTGTTTCGCAGCAATATTCCGCCATTGACTTAAACATGTGTACATATGTATCTATTTATGTACTATATAAGTTAATATGTATGTATATCACTAAATATATGAGAGAGGAAAGTCCATAGCAACTCGTTTTGTAAAATTCAATCAGTTTTGTTTTTAGCAATTTTTTGTTTTTTTTTTCTGCTCTTTACTCACATACACATTTTTTTTTTTATAATATACTACTAAATTTAACTTCAAAAATGTCTGATTCTTATTGTGTTTTTTGTTTTCTGTTTTGTTTTACAATCTAAAAGTTTTAAAATTTAATTTCCAAATTTTATTGTGTTCCTTAATATGTTTTTGTTTTGTTTGTTTTTTTTTTTATAAAATTTACAAAATTAGTTTTTGTTTTGTTTTTAGTTTCTTATCATTTTATTATTATTTATTTTGCTCCTCGCAACAGTTTTATTTATTATAATTTTTTTAATATTTATTTATATTTGATATTATTTTTTATCTTTTAATTTATTATTTATTTATATTAATTTTCGTTCTTTTTTCATTTAGTTTAATTTTGTTGTGTTTAAGTTCAGAGCATTTTTGCTCTTTATACACTCACAAGCATACATACATAAGTGCCTACAATAGTTTATGCTCTTTTTCTTCCTTTCTCTCTCTTTGCTCCGCTTATTTTAATAAAATAAACACAACTTTTAAGCTTTCTCAGTATGTTTGTCTTTTTGTTTGTGTGGTTTTCTTAATCGTTTTTTATTTTATACCGAAGATTTATAATCTATCTTTTGTTGTTGTGTTGGTTTTTTTTTGTTGCTACACATTATCTTCCCTCTCCTATACAATGATTGGTTCATCTCCATGTAGATCACACGAGCCAATATTCTCGCCTTTGTAAGCTGAGAAATCGGTTATGACGGCATTCGTTTCGGCACCGAATTGTATATCCTGCAGACAGCCTTTGAAGGGTTCGTTAAAGCGACCGAGTGTGCGTACACTAACCAATTCTTGGTTGGGGAAGCCACCTACGGCGAGAGAAGTAGCAAAAGAGGGTTAAAATACATGTTTATATGAATAGAAGTCTTAAAAAATGATCTATAACATAAATATTATATATGGTATATAAAAATTTAAAAAATTAATAAATTCGATTGACAAACCAATACAAATTTCTGTTCCCACGATCGAGTTGGATTCCGTTTTATTTTCCCAGCATAGAGTTAATAGACTCCGCAATATTTCATCAAAGTTATTCGAGGAATGTTCTATTTTACTATAACAAAAATAACAGCAACCAGTAAGAATTTGATTTGGTGAGGTTATGTTGAGCTGATAAACGTTTCTGTTTAGATCTCAAAATTTATTGAAGAGTATAAACGCCATCTCTCGATGGATGATGGTATGGTTGCAGAAAATATTTCTCTCGTTCTACTTATTCCGAAGCACCACAAGTTGCTTCTTAACCTGAAGTTTCGAGATTTTGGCTCTAGAAATAATTTCTGATGCTCAAAGAATCTGATAGTCGTCTATTAATCGCAACATCTTTTGTTTACTAACAGTGGTTGGTAACTTCTATTAAAAAATTGGAGCTGATTTTTCCTGCGACTCGTTTCAAGTTTTCTGGCATGGTTGAGGTCAATATATCAATTATATAATATTTAAGCAAGGTTACCAAGAACAATAAGAAAAAGCTCTCGAGTTTCGGATGCTGCATTAATTTTTAAGTATTAAATGAATTTTCCATACTTACAGCTTAGGAGCTTGAATGTTTATAGAATTAAATCGAAGTAGAAGTAATCTGTAAGTTGAATCACGAATTTTGTATGTACTAACTTCGGCAATAGACACGGGGGCATTGTTTTTGTAGAAATCAATTAATTTCTTGACAAGTGTCACGCTGATGTTCCAGTTGGACATTCAATCTTCATATGAAATCTAATATTTTTAGCTTTCTCGAATATTGTCTCGATTTCTTGAACTTCGATTGCCTTGTTGTTTTAATTGATAATTGCCGTAATTTGCTACAGACAATCACTAAAAAAAATTTTACCAAATATATAGTAGCCTAGGTTAGGTTAGGTTAGGAGGTCGATCCTAGAAGGGATTCCACTTGGACAGCTTAAGACGCCAGTCCGTTGTGATACCTACGACTCCTATAGTCCGGATCAAAAGACCATTACAAGTCGACAAGACGTCTTATGCTGACTACAAACTTGTTAAGACGGCCAATATCCATTACGGATAGGTATTCAGGACCGCCAAACGTGTGATTGCCGAGATATTTCAATCGCAGCCTAGCGAATGCCGGACATTGGAGGAGAAAGTGCTGGGATGATTCCACCTCGCCCTCCTCCATACAACTTTGGCAACTGGCATCGGGTAGTACACCAAGCCGTACCGCATGAGTGCCCATTGGACAGTGTCCAGTGAGAACTCCTACAATAGCGGCTAGATGCACTATAGTAGCCTAAGGCAAAGATGATTTTTTTTTGGCTTCGTACTTTGAAAAATAGGTTCTTAGACACCTTTAAAAAATTCGCTCCAAGTATGAGCACTTTATTGTAACGGCAAGGTCCTACGCCTTATAGTTTTTTAATATTTCTTATTATCAGACAGAAAAATTCAAATCTCGCTTTCAAATACTGAAAATTATTACCTTAAATAGATTTTGTAGGAAATTGAATGCTCTACAAAAATCTCTCTAACGTTTTTTGTGTAAACTTAACCGTTTAAAAGATATTAACGGTTGAAGTTTAATTATTTGAAGGCAATTTTTTTTTCTTATGAATTTTATAATTAAAAAAAAAATTAATTTAATTAAAATTAAAATGCACAATTCTTAGTTTTCGGTGAAATTTACTGCTCTAAAAAAATTGGCTCTAGCTTCTCTCTGGCGTATATTACAGCAAATTGATTTCAAGTACTTTCCGAAGAAATTTTTAAGGGCACGATTATGACTCACAACGGGTACCGCTTATAAGAAGTAAGAGCATCAATTTACACGATCTTATTACCCATTACGAATCAGTAGCGCTCTTCATGCCCTTTCTCTTCATAAATACTAACTCGCTTTGCACGAAATGGTAAACCCTATAAAAATTATCCGAGACATCAACTACACCAGGAATATCAATAGTCAACAGTGCATTTCAACAATTCAACAATTTGCGATTTGAAACCGGATTCGAGTTGTGATCAGCTAGTTACCTGTTTTAAACAACTGATCACCGAACAGCTGTTTGCTTGGTCAGCGCTCTCTCGCCGGTAGAGTGCTTGTCAATGCAGAGAGCGCTTAGGAAAGGTGTATACATATACTCAGCCAACAACAACTCGTATACAAAATGTTTTTTTTTTTTGTTTTCAGCTAAGCACAGCACGACTTTTAAGTTAGGCTTGTAGTTTGTTCTGTGCCGCTCACCTTTTGCCACGAATTCTGTGTGTCAGCGCGTGTGTTGAAGAGCATGAAAATGCATTAGCAAACACGGGACTAACGCAAAGAATTCGCATTAACAGTGCAAATACGAAACTGTATACATACTCATATAAATTAGTTAGACTTGGATTTCGAGACAAGCTAATGCTAAGTCAGATGGCTAAACAATTGGCGGCGCAGTGGCAGGAATAAGCGAAGTTTGTGAACGTCACATGAAAACAGGGACGGCAAGCGAATGCAGAGACGCAGATTTAATTGTATCTAGAAGATACATTCGTCATGGCGATTACTCGTGTATTGTGAAAAAGCGCTTAAAAAACAACAGTTAACAAAGCCACAACGCGTTACAAACGGCGTACAACAGCAAGCCGCGCAGCAAAAGCAAATAAAGTCGAGAGTGCGAGTAAGTTATTGTGAGCGCTACGCTGGCTACGCTGTCTTGCAGTAGGTTGAGTGTTGCGCCAAAGAAAACACGAAAACGTAGAATGAAAAGTTCAAGAAACAGTGCAGATCAGCTCAGTTGGCCAAAGTTGGTTGGGTTAGTACACCAGTGCGGTCGGTGTCGTGCGTTCAGTGGTTCGTCGGTTGGCGTTTAAAAAATTATTGCTTACTGCCACTTGAGCTCAGTTGGATTGCGTTGCAAGTGCAAAGACTTTGTGTAACGCAGAAGATAGAGCAAAAAATACAATAGAAAAAAAGTAAAAAAAAAAAATACAAAAAGTTAATAAATTACTAAGTAGGTGAGCAATATCAAAAAAAAAAAAAAAATTAATGAAAAGCGTGTGGCCCTTTTTCGCAGCAACTTTCGTGAAATGTAATACCAACAACACCAACCATCGAAAACCTTAATAAAAAAGTGGCTGAAGTGAATTGCAAAAGCGGTCGCGGCAGCAACAACACCACAAAGCACAGTGGTGTGGCAGCCAACGAAGGGAAGCGTAGTGCAGTGAAGGGAAGCGTAGTGCAGAAAAGTGCAACGCAAGTGAATGTACGCAGCCGTCTTGCGTCGCCAGCCGGTCGAGTGCAGCGCGTACTTTACGATTATTAGCATTGCGCTTTTTGCCAAGTAGCAATTGATTATTGCTTTTTTTTTTTTTTTTTTTTCTGTTTTTTGCTGTGGTTTGCGGTTTTCATTAGCGAAGACGCGGTTCGATTGTCGATAAACGGCGCTGCCTGCGATAAGCGCGTAAATTGAAATAAACAAACAGCAACAAATAACGTGCGGCGAGCGACGAGTGGTGAGCGACGAAGACGTTGCCAAAAAACGCATAAAAATCTGCAATGAAAGGCTTTTAGCTTTTAGCATTTAGCATTTAGCTTTCGGCTTTCGAACAATAACGCTGAGAGTTTGCGTGAATCAACACTTAAAACGGCAGACGAACAGCCAAACAAAGGAGATTTGAATATTAATGACAACTTTCTAACTTTTCGTACTTTGTTGGCTCGTAAAGTTGTAGTTGCAGTGCGCGTGTCGGAATTTTCGTCACCTGTACGCTTGAGACGAGGTAAGCATCGCTACAGTTGTCAATTAAGTGACTGTCACTAACACAAACATATATTCACACCATATATATATATATATATTAGCTGATGCTTAGCATTGATGGTTTTGTTTTTATTGTTTTTGGCATTTTTTTATAGAATGTGAAATGTTTGATTTGCCGGTTGACAGCGAAAAGTGAACAGCAGGGGAGGTAGAAAAACTATAAAACTCTAATTTCGCTGGCGAAAGATATTTCTAATAAAATCGTATACATGCAGACATTGTGCAAATATATATGTACATATGTGGGTATATGTTGGTAAAATCGCGTTGGACGAGTCTTGACATAAATCTCGCTCGATGTCAGTCGATGTCAATGTGATAGGTTTTGCTGAGTTGATGACATGCTTTATGATCTCTAAATTCGTTACTTTTCTTATTTATAATTTTTCGACTCGCAAAATTAATTAAAATGTTCCCAATTATTTGTCATATATATATATACACTATTTAAATAGAGTATAGAGCTGATGGGGTCATAGATTTAGGGTTTTGAAGAGTTATCTCTCGAGCCTAAGAAGAGACGTGCTTTATTTTGCTTAGAATAGATGGATTTACTGTTATATGTTTTATAGCGCTACTTCTATCTGATTGTTGGAGGTCCCTTACAGTAGTCTTATATACCACGAAAGTTTAGGTTCGACCAGTAAGAACGACGTGATGTTAAAATGAAATAAAACACTCAAATTCGGTCGAGGTAATTTTATGCCATTTTTGATTTGAACAAAATGTCGACAAAATGACCACCATGGCTTTGTTTGTATATCTTTATTTACGCTATTTTTCGATGCCCCAGTGCTGCATTTCGGCTGGAATTTCGGCTTTAGTCACTAAATGTTGTCTTCGAACTCCTTCATTTAATATATACCCAGAGCAAAAATTGTCTAAAGGCGTTAAATGACATGATCTTGGCGGGCATTTGACTGTGTCATTTCTAAAAATTAATGCGTCATCAAACTTTGCACGCAATGTGCCCATGTTTAGACGTGAAACAAGAGGTGGCGCACCGTTTTGCTGGAAATAGAGATTGTACGCTTCGATTCCATCTAACTCCGGTTAAAAAAATCGGTCAAAATACTACTAATAAGCTCGCTATTGATGATAACAGCGTTTCTTGCCTCATTTCAAAAGAAAAAAGGCCCGATGATGCCGCCATACGACAATTCTCACTAAACAGTAAATTTTCGGGGATGCAATTGCGTTTCCTGAATCAACACGAGGATTTGACTCATCCCAATAGTGACAATTTTGTTTGTTGACAAAGTTATTAAGCCAGAAATGGGATCAACTGAGCAGATGATTTTTCGATTAACCTTACTGATCACACTAACAAAATTCGACACGAATCCGTAAACAAACATGACCGCCGCGAGCTATCAAAATCACGTTATCCCTATTGGTAGACGCTTTACAAAATATGCTTAAGCTAAACTTGAAGAATTCTGGCCATACAACAGTTTACCGATCCAAACAGGGTTAGACTGTCGAAATAACAGTTCTTGGGTGAATAAAATGAGGATAAATACCGTTAACCGATTTTTGATTGTCGTGGGAATTGAAGAGAAACTTTTATTTGCCATGCCTGGTGGTTAAAATCTTGAAAGTGGAGTAAAATCTACGGGAAAACCTATGAACAACCTATGAAAATTACGACGTTGCTGGGAAAAAAGCGCAATATTGAGAGAGGTACACCTCTTGAGTTCATTTCCAATTAAGCCTTGAAAACACGAACTGCTGTCGTAATTTTTCCAACAAGAGAAAATGATGTGGTTCCTAGTAGAACTAGGACACGACCCCACAAGGGTTACTGAATGTGAGGACTTTATATAGAAACGGTGGTTTTAAAAAACCAAGAGGTTCCACATCTAGTCGAAGCATTGAGACTCACTTGTTATTTTCACTTTTTCATTTAACTTTGAATCAAATGTCGAGTCCATATTTTAGCACCAATAGAAGTGAAAAGGTTTAGCATGGAAGCCCATTTCTTACCATATTTTGTTCAATCTTTACTGAACTTGAAAGGTTTGGGTTTCGTTATAGTCGGAGCAGTAGATCTCAGCAATTGCTGGAAACCGAAGAAAAAAATTCCTATAGGCATTCCGATAGTGGTAACAGCTTCTAGAGATAGGGTTGAGAGTGCTAAAGCTCTTCCATTGACGCTAACCAAACACATACAAGCTATAGATCCAACATTCACAATGTTAGACTCTTACGAGTGGTAATATAAAAAACATAACTTTTTAATATATCCAGAAAGTCGGTGAAATTGTCGGAAACTACTTCATATTCAAGAATTTGGAGGTTAGCTTCACGTTTTTGATAATGTTTCCTCTAATTACTCAGACTGACTCAACGAACTTGACAAACTTATTGTTATATCAGAAGTAATTATAATTTGAATAAATTTCCACTCACCTAAATAGAAGACATCCTCGTAGGTGATTGATGGCTCCTTACCACGTCGTGTTGCAAATGAGCGTCGCGTCGTTAACACTGTTCGTTGTGTTGTTGCTGCTAATGCAGCGGCTGCCGCGTCCAGCACCTTCTCCGAGAATATCACTTCACCATCCAATTGCAACTCCAAACGATTGCGATCCATTATGACCTTTGCCAAATGCCAACTGCCATCCGCAATGAAGCCGGTCGATGGCATCTCCACGGTATCATTATTGGAATCTAACAAATTGCTAGCCATTTTCAGATGACCATTCTCCAAGCCTAAGCCCAAAAATCGATTACGATCGTGCTCGCTCCACAGCAGCAGGCCGTCGGGTTCGATGCTGGAGAAATTCAACGAAACTTGAATGGCTTCACGTGGTCGGACATACATGGATGGGCCGCGACGTTTGTCTTTCATTGGTATGCGGGGCGGTGGCAAGATCAGGTAACTGTTTCCACGGAAGCTTGGCGTTGTGGGCTTACTCATGGCTGGCAGAGCAAATAGGTGGCAGCAGAAATGTTGAAGAATATGGCAGAAAAATCAAAGACACGTAGCAGGAAGTAGCGCAAACGAATGCGTGAAATGAAAGAAAGCGAGAAGTAAAAGAAATCATTGTAACGGTTATAATTGCATATGGAAAGCATAGATTTTTTAATTAAATATCTCAAGTAATTCACTTGTAGATATATTTGCTAATAATTATGAGGTTAGCAAAGTGTGTCTTATATGAAGGAGGGTATAATTAAAATCAGATTTATTTTTTTATTTCCTATAACTTTTGCGTAACGTCGCCGATATTCGTACTTTACTGCTTGTCGGTATGCTCAGTAGGAAATTGTACGCTTGAAGTTTATATACTTGTATATAATTTTTCAAGTTGTCAAAGTGGAGCAAGTTTTGTGTGGAAAGGAAGTCAAAGTTGTAGTATAAAATTAGTATGTGAACCTGGTACTCTTACATTTCGGATCAGCTATTTAGTATTACTGCAAATGTTTTCATTTAAAGTAAAGTAAATCGTTTTCGGACATTTTGGGGTTATGTTGGACATAACTATTTTCAGACCTTGGGTAAAATTTCCCTACACGCCTTGTTTGTTTTATAAAAGTATACGTATATACTAGGGCGGAGCGAAAAATATAAATTTTGATTTCGTAAAAAAATATTGATAAGTGTTCTAGAAGCTGTGGAGAGTCCTCTTTCTGGCCAATAAAAAGTTATCAACTTAAAAAAAAAATTTTTAGACATTATTGAAGTTTTAAAATAAAGTCTTAAACGACAACATGCTTTCCTTAAGCGTTAAAATAAATTTTGAGTCAAAAACGGGTAAAATTCGACAATTTTTATATAAATGTGAAGAGTTTAAAACAAAAAAAAATTTTTTTGTCCAAAAAAATTTTAACTTGAAACTTACTTTAAAAGTGAGTGGGGCCGCCTCTAGATGTTAAAAAAAATTTTTTTTTCCAAAAATTTTCTTATTTTATAGTCTTTAATCTTTACCCTCAAGCTAAGCAAAAAAAATTGTTTTTTCGCTCCACCCTAATATATACGAATATATGTAAGAATGTATGTATATGTGTATGTATGTATGTTTCTGCGGCGCCTTTGCTTAATTCTGCACAGCAGCCCTGATCTCATTTCAACGCTTCTGCCTCGTCTGCTTCTAATGCGCGTAATCTAACTCAGCGCTTTGTTGGATCGACAACATCTTCACAGTTTTCTAAGAACTTTGTCTACTTGTTGTCATTGTTATTGTTGTGTATTTGCGATTTCAATTCTCGCCTGACGCTAATTGCTGCTGCGATTGCTCAACAAACATCGTCTTCTATTGTTTTAATGTAAACTATATTTTTGTTGTTGTTCTTTGTTTGTTTTTATCATACCTATGGTACTAAGTACAAATTGCAATTGCTGTTGCTATTGTGTTTGCGTTTCACGTGTGCATCTTTCGATTTCGTAGGCGCTTTTAATTACAAAGAATTCAACCGAAAAGTAGAAAGGGTTACCCAAGAACCCGACTTCAAAGCACACATATATAATATATGTATGTATATATACATATGTACTTTTATATGTTTATGTATGTGGTTAAGTGGACTGCATAGGTAAATAAAATTCAACGCTATGAGAACAGTTAGTCCAGCTGACAAAGCGACTGCGCGTATTTCTTCAGCGCCAGTCAGTGGCTTGGACCAGCTGTTGTTGTCAAGGTTGCTTTTGTTGTTGTTGCTATTGTTACTGCTGGTTGTTGTTTTTTGCAATTACAGCTTGTTGTTGTTAACTACTACACATAAATTCGTTGCGGCTGTCGTTGTACGCTTGATTTTCGGCTATAATTCATCTTTCGTGTTTTTCAGGTTTTTTGTTGTTGTTCTTTTTTCAATTCTAACTTTTGTAGATAATTTTGTAGAAATTAAAACCCGTTCTAGTAATGTATATGTACTACCTGAAATTCGTTAAAGTGTTTTTATTTGAATTCTATTTATTTGTTGTTGTTTTTGTTTTTGTATTTGCTTTCAACTTTA